ACGGTGTGTGGCTGTAAAGTATAGCTCAGCATTATGCATATAAAATGCTCATATATTTGTTTCTCTTTATTCCCCACGCCCCAAAATAAATAAATATACCAATTTTAGGAAAAGTAGCGAAGTTTGAGCAATGTGGGTTTTATATGAACAGAGTTTCACATATTTCAAAACGCAAAGTGGAATAAAGTTATTACACTTACACTGAGGATCTTTGTCATTCTGTCAGAATGACAAAGATCCTCAGTGAAGCACGAGCCCATATTTCACTACATTGTAAGTACAACTTATTAAAAAGATCAGTTCAATGCAACTAATGTCGTCTTAGTGTTATTGCATGATGTTAAAATTGGTTTGCCATGAATTTAGTGATGGATTGTAAACATTTGAAGTGTAGCATTTAAGTGTTTCTCAGTTACAAGGTTGTTGTTTTAATGAATCAGACACTGATGGTGCAGCGCTGTACTGTATCTCTTAGGCATTTTGTCCCAAACAAATTTTTTTTTGTGCTGATCAGGGGGTACTTGGCAGCATTTATTTTTCAAAGGGGGTACATTATTGAAAAAAGTTTGAGAACCACTGCTTTAGAGAATCCGACTGCACTTTCACTATCCGACGTGTTTATGATGCGCCAGTGGACGTCATGAAATGTGCGTCTGCTGCTGTGGGGAAACTATGGAAACTACAGTTTTCTATACAGCGGACTACAACATGGATGTTTAATAAGAACGAGGGACTACTGTAAACTCATCTAGAGACTCTGCACCGTGCTCTGACGCTGTTGTTTTATGCTTTATGAACGTGGACAACAGAGAAACATATTCTTCATGACCAAAGTTGGAATTGAAATAAAAAAGGAAAGTGAAACTTATGCTCGTCACCCTCTCCCTCCGGTCCACATTAATACAAATGATCCCAATACGTATGATTGTATGAACTATGAAAAGATCTTAAAATCAATACAGATGTATTATAAACGTTAGTCCTTAACATCTATCAGTGTGTATATCACCATTCAAACATCTTTTAAAAGTTGAACAAACCCCACACAGCTCAGTAAAGACTGTGAGATGTTGACTTTATTTGATCATTTCAGTAAAAACTAACGTTCATATTTCTCTTTTTGATTATAATACTGATGAACGTTCAGAAAAAAGCACTTTGGCAACTTACCACATACGTTTTAAAATGCTTAATAAGCACCGTAACGTTCATGATATTATTTATCGGTCATAATCGTTTGTTGACTGTTGTGTGACGGCAAATGCTGCGACTGCAAGGCATTGTGGGGCAGCATTTTCTCCTCTCCTTTCGGTTAGGGAGGTCCAGTGGTTCCTAAGCTAAAGGAGGTTATAAAGGAAGTTTGAAACCTACTTTCCTTTCATTTGGAGAATTGCAACAGCACTTATCATGGCTGCCACTGAGGGACTTCCGGGTCATTTCACTCCTGTTAGGAAGGTTCCTAAGATAAATGGACTATTGGAACGCAACCCCGGATTCTTTTGGTGTGAACGCGACATTTCGGAACTATATCGGAACTAAAGTGTGTAAGAGAATATTTTCATCTGATCTGTTTATAGAGTCTTTTATGGTTCCTTAGAGTCTGTGATACTGCAAACATCTGCTTGTAGTCAGTCAAAGACCCCTCTGTAGGTTGAGGTCACAGGTCAAACGCTTCTCCTATGTCCGAGGGTTGACCTGGCAGCATCTCTTTGAGACAAGCAGATCATTGTCTTGCATCGGCTATTGATTATACGCGGGCTTTCTGGAAGCCCGCCTCTCCTCGTGTTGGTTAGATGTTTTGTGTCTTTTGGTTCAGAGATCGCTGGTGGAGCACTGGGCATGTGTGAAACTTAAGATGATCTCCCGGCCGTTATTGTCTGTACTTTCTCCAATAAAACTCTTCAGTGCTTTTGGCTAACAACGGTTCCAGACTCCTTCATTCTACCTCAACATTGCAACAACAGAAGTTTACCTTCACAAAGTGGGAAAAGTACTGCGGTGTGAAAGCGCCTAATGTGTTAGTGTTTTTGTAATGCTACTTACACTTGTGAGTATATCTGATGAGATTTTAAGGTGTTTGTGCAACACTATGCAAAACAATAATCCCCCTTACCAATACTGTGTTATATTAAACGATATACTTTCATGTTGATTTCCACAGTTAATGACTTTATCATGTGCATGTCAAAACACATAAATGCTTCTCCCCTAATGATCCTATTGACGCTTGAAATGGTGTTTTCACTTTTTCACGCAATTTAATTATATAGCACAGTTTCAACAGCAGGAAATGTGATGTGCTTTACAAAAAGAACATTTAAAGCATTGAGATAATGCATTTTAAAAAACATTTTAAAACTTCAAGCAAATCTGTCTGTGTTTGAAAAAAAAGGATGTTGTACAAGGTACAGAACATCTGAGAGAAAGTCTCCCACTGTTACGAATTTCCCAGATTATTATTATATTTCTTATTCTGATGTTCCCAACCAGTGTTAATTGCTTCATCACATGCACTTTAAAACAAAGGAAAGGCTTAAAATACAAATATAAAATAAAATACATCCTGTCTTGTATCGATCTTATTGACACTTGCAATGCAATTAGCTGTAGTATTGATATTTTCACATCTAATCCCATTTGTCATGCTTAATAGCCTCTTTATTGCTGAGCATGGCCTGCGTATTGCCATATCAATGGCACTTATGTGTATCTGTGCATACCTCTTTGTCAAAGTAAACACCATCATATCGAATTCCATCACATTCCTCTGCTGCGTTCAATTGAGCTAAGGCCCTTTTGCCGCAAATGGAAGACACTAGAAGTTATTCAGGAACACAACCTGACAACAGCATTCAATGTTAAAACTGACATACCGTAGACACTTTTCATCGTCAACTCTAAGGAGAGCTCAGTGTTGTTTTCTAGACAGTATGGTAATGAAGCTATGGTAAATTAAGCTTGTGCACACATCCAGCAGTAAATGCAGAGTGTACATGCTTCAGCACACAGGACCTCATACTATAGGTACCCGCTGTGAAGTCTCTGGGGATTTTCTGCTGTTTGAACCCATCCGCCATTAACACACTTCTACTGGTTATAGCCTTAGCCATCCAATGTCTCTCTTGTTCTACAGAGGGCCACATCTGACAGAGAAAGCTAATGCATAACATTATTACCAGTGTTTCAGAGAGGATTGCTCTGCTAATAGTATATATTTTGAGACTAGTATGTGCCTTGTGTTTTTCTCTAGCACACGTAGGCGATAAGTGGACTTTGCTCCAGTCTTTCTGGATCCATATTACACCTTTAAAAAAATGCCTGCAAGAATAACTCTACAGTGTTTCAAGCAGATTATAACTCATTATAAGCTATTAAGGCCTTTATTATGATCTTCTGATTCATATGTTTTTGTGTGGTCGTTGTTTGCTTTAAGTAAAGTAAAGACATGTTTGTTAGAGTTTATTGAAGGATAAAAATGTGTTTTCATAATGTATTCTCATTTGCTGTGTTACAAAATGTGTTGATGGAGGAACAAAGCATAGTCTGTTTAAAATGACACACATACACACACACACAGATTCACATGACTGAGAGACACAAGATCCACACGAACAAATAAGGCGTTGGTCAAGACCACATGATTGTCTCATGTTACTGTATTGTTGAAATAAAAGGACTGCACTGAGAGGAGGCGAGTGGGAGTCGGTTAGGGAGTTGGTTCTCCTAGCTGAGGGCCGATTCTCCTAGCTGGGAGTTGGTTAAGGAGTGGACATGGCATATGTCACTCGCCGATTCTCCTAGCTGGGAGTTGGTTAAGGAGTGGACATGGCATATGTCACTCGCCGATTCTCCTAGCTGGGAGTTGGTTAAGGAGTGGACATGGCATATGTCACTCGCCGATTCTCCTAGCTGGGAGTTGGTTATGGAGTTGACATGACATGTCACTCGCTGACTCTCCTTGCAGCAAGTAAACTGGAAACATGAGTCCTGTTATCTTTGTTCACTGGGTTTTGGTATATTTGAACCGAGCTGGGGTTTACTCTTACAAAGTAATATAGAAATACCCCACAATGTTTGGTCTATAAGCAGATATATTACAAGCTGGCTATGAAATCACTAGGTGCTCAATGTAAAATGTAAGAGAGTGACCAGCGATTCGGAAGTATTATGATACTTGAGCTTAACATTTAGTGATTTGTTAATATGGTAATTGTTATAAAGAGTTATGAGAATGTATCAGTGCATTTACAGTATCCTATGCAAAGCTACAGATGCACATATGTATATGTATAATGCTTTATAGACATGGGAGTCATAGAAAGTTTGACCAAACTGTGTAATCTGTGGGGTTATAATTTTCAATTAGATATTTATCTCAAATTTGAGGTTGAATAAACCGATGTACATTATTTTATTTGTGTTCTTTGTTTCCAAATATGTTCTACCTTGAAATAAAATGGGAATTGTTACCTGATGTTGATTATGTAATATACATGTGACTGTTGAATGTCAGCTCTTCAAGTTGTTTTTGGATTGTGTCTGGTGTGAAATCGAAGAGATGTTTTGGTCTGAGAGCAAGGATGCTAATGAGTTGGCGGATCTCTGACTGCTATTCCAATGCAAACGGTGTGGGATTCACCTTAGTGAGGGCAGAGGCTGCTTGTTCTTTAATGACCGCTAACCATCACAACAAACCAAACCCTGGATATCTGATTTGACTCTGCCAGCTAAAGCAGATTGATGTTATCCATCTCACTAAATGGAGACTGATTGGTGGATTGGCAGAAACAGACAGCAAAGGATTAGATGGGGACTTCCAAACCACCAGAGCTCTTTCATATTACAAATACAAGATATAAGCTTCTGGCCTTTTATATATTTGTTCATACTATGGCTCCAATACCACACTAATGTGTATGTATCGTATGACACTGGCAACTAAGACTAATTTATACAATCTGTCATGCATTCTTTAACCTCCATCTTTTCCTGTTCTGCAGGTGGAAATGCTAAGCTGCGCTACCAGATCACATCAGGGAACACGGGAGGGGTGTTTGATGTAGAACCAGAGGTGGGCACTATCTTCATCGCCCAGCCGCTGGACTATGAACAAAACAAAAGGTAGGACACACTCCAGGGTACAATCCTTCGAAATATTAACGGTTATTTTTCTACTCAAGTTCAAATATGTTGTGTTATTTCCCCTGTTGTATTACTTGTTTATTTTTGTTCCTGGCTCTTTATATGCTAAAGTTTTAAACTCAATTTCTGATACAATAGTTTAAGAGTTTAAGAACATTTCAAGTAAATGTTTTTACATAGCAATTGGCTTCTTACTTTGTGGAAGCTCCTGACAAAGCTGATCCTCCTGCTCAGGTACAAGCTCCATGTCCTGGCTTCAGATGGAAAGTGGGAGGATTACTCGACTGTGACGGTGAACGTGGTCAACAAAAATGACGAGGCTCCGGTGTTCACCGTTAACGAATACTACGGCAGCGTTACAGAGGAACTGGACGGATCACCGGTGTTTGTGTTACAGGTACTTTTCAAGTTCATATTCAGCTGAAAGGTACACTTTATGAGAGGTTTTGCAATAATCTGTTTACTGCGCATATTTCCTGTGTTATCACCAAGGTGCAACTTCTGGGACTAAAAAGGGAAGCCACCGAGTATAGCCAGACTTCTCTTGATAAAAAAGATCCCGATTCTGTAGAAGTCTATGAAGAAATGACACTACTTCTTACATTAAAGCTTTAAACTCCATTTCTGATACTTCAAATCAACAATAGTTAAAGAGGTAAAGGACATTTCAAGCAAGTGGCCTCTTACTTTGTGAAAGCTCCTGCCAAAGCTGATACTCCAGGGCTGGCTTCTCTTGATGAAAAAGATGTCGGGTTGTGTAAAGATCTACGAGAAAATGACCCTACTAGATAACTCTGAATTTGTTCTTACCATGATTGTTACATTAGACTAAATACTCTATAGATAGCCAGCAGGGAGCGACTTCTCTAGTTGAAAAAGATGTCTGTAGAAGTCTATGCACAAGATGACCCTACCTCTCATTTACCTCAGTCAACATTTTCCTAAGGGATTTATGATCTCAATTGCTAGTTTAAAAGCTTCCTCAATACAATAAGTGAGTGTATACTTAAGTTTGTGACCTTCAACTCTTTTAAAATGTTTGGTTTTAAGTTTGCGAAAGTCATTTGAAACATTTTGATCCCCTGCTAAATGTTTTCTATAAGCGGTTGATTGAAGGTCTGTCAATTGAATATAAATAGCCAAAGAATAAAATGCTTTTATGCAATTCTGTCTGAAATTAAGAAACATATTGAGTGTTATAAGAATGCAATGTCTAGCATGCATAGCAACAGTAACAAAGTGGAAGTGGAGCTTTATTTTTTTTAAAGCCTTACTTATTTGTATGAGTACAAACCATTTCTGGACTTGGGTTCAATCCGTTTTGCATTATTATGTCCTGAGTAGAAAGAGTCTTTTTAAGTATCATCTTTAATCGATTTTTAGTTTTCATTCATTTCATATGATGTAGCCGGATGTGGAAAGGTTGCATGATGGCTACAGCTTTCCCCCTGAAGCTGTCTGTCTTTCTTTAAATCGCTTTCTTTGAGTTAAGCTGATGTTCTTTAAATTACCACAGTTAAATACATCTAGTTAAGATCGGTTGTATACATCACTCTGAATTTGTTCTTATAATTATTTAGCTCTATTGCATTAGACAATATAGAGGCCCTGCTTCTCTCTACGTATGTAAGAGCACACCTCTCACTCTTTTAAAGTTAATTTTGGCTCTACATCACACTGCAATTACCGCTGTGCTAAATTGAACCATCTCTGGGCTGCCCAGGGTGTAATTGCTGTTGATGTGTTGAGTGAGAAGAAGCAGTCAGGAAGAAGAGGTGGGGGTGAGGAGGTTGGATTTCTGCCAGGCTTACCTACCGGAGACTTTACTAACTACACAGAGCTGCTCTGAAGTGCTTCCAGTCAAGATATCACACCAAGTCAGCAGCATTTCAATAATTAAATAGTGGTGAAAAAGAAGTGATTACACTCTCATCACCCTCTCTGTGTTGCTGTGTGTTTGATATTGTAGGTTACAGCATCAGATCCAGATAAAGACGCTGACCAGGAGGCCCTGCGCTACTCTCTCCATGGCCAGGGTGCAGAGAGCGAATTCATAATCGATGAGGTCACAGGGAAGATCTACGCCCAGCGGACACTGGATCGCGAGGAGCGTGCCGTTTGGCGTTTTGTCGTCTTGGCCACGGACGAGGGCGGCGAAGGTCTGACGGGCTTCACCGACATCATCATTAATGTGTGGGACATCAATGACAACGCGCCCATCTTCACCTGCGCCCCAAGCTGCCTCGGAGAAGTTGCGGAGAACTCGGTCGTGGGGACGTCGGTGATGGAGATGACGGCCACTGATCTGGACGACTCGGCGGTGGGCCAGAACGCTGTGCTCTCCTACAGGATTACCGGGAGTTTAGACACCACAAACGTGGAAATGGGAGGAGTGCCTACCTTCTCAGAAATGTTCACGATCAATCCCACCACTGGGACCATCACTGTGGCCATGGGAGGCCTCGACAGAGAGCAGGTGGAGTCCTACCTCCTGGTGGTGGAGGCCAGAGATGGCGGAGGGATGACTGGAACTGGAACTGCTACCATTCAGATCAAGGATGTGAATGATCACGCTCCGAGATTCACGGATCGCTCCTGCATGACAAGGATCTCTGAGAATACAGAGGTCAATGCAGAGGTGAGTCAGAACTATAGATATTAGCCACAGAAACCAAATGATTTGATTTATCTCAGATTAACTCCGCAAAATAAATATTGAATTTGGTGGTGGAAGATATTCTTCATGATTCTATATATCCCAAAAGACAACAAATGCAGAGTAATACCAGAAACTTTAACAAAGTAATGGGAGCAGTTTGCCTTTGGGTGTCAAACTCAATTTCATCGCATAAAGGTTGCACTCAAAGGGCCGGTTGTAACTATATAAATATAATATATATATATATATATATAAAATAATGTATTATATACATATATATATTATTACATTATTGCCTCTGAATTGGATTATTATCGGATAGGATAATAACTTAGTAATTAACTACGTCTGAAAGCAGAAGTCCAGGGCAATTAATTACAAGTCTCTTCAGTGCGCATGTCACAAAACGAGATGCATTGTGGGACATGTAGTTTATGGGCATCCTGCTTCTGTAAAGTGGCATGTAACCGTATAATAAACGTAATATATTCTTTGCAAGCTCTTGCGGGGCCGCATAAAATGAAGTCGCTGGTCGGATTTGGCCCCCGGGCCTTGAGTTTGAGACCCCTGCCTTAAACGCAGAAAAGCTTCCATTTACATTAACACAAATCGTAGCACTACACATTGTATATTTCAGTTAAAAAACAAAACCTTTAAAGGTAACTGTGGGGGAAAGTTCTGAAGCAATGGGAGTCAGGACTCAGAGAGACACGAGGAGAGCTGGAGCTTTGATGGCAAACACTGACGGTTTATTTGGAGCTTCGGCCGGAGAATTCACAAGACATGTCACGGGCCACGAGTTGACCACACGGTTGAGATGCCACCATCAATTCTGAAGCACCCTCCTGTAGCTCCAGGTTTGAACTAGTTGATAATAATCAACATTGTGCAATAGATTGACTAAACAGCTGAGGACACTGAATCACAGTTGTTGTCGCTTATGGCTCGGGGTCATCTGCACCCCGAGAAGGATGTGTTCCAGGTGTCCCACAACAATAAGTATCTCTGACCGAGAGTTGCCCGGTCATAAACTGGTAACATCAACAACTTGTTAGGGCAGCCCCTCCTTAAGGGAGATAACGGCTGATCAAGGTTGGTCAGCTGCGTCAGAGGGCGAAGGAGGACCTGCAGGGGAAATGATTCCCCAACAGTAACTCTCTTCTCATTTTAAATATAAGTTGTGTGATTCTTAGAAAATGCACATCTAGCTAGATTTGTAGAATAAAGCAGCTGATGTCTGACATCAAACATTGATTATGGGCAACTGTTTAAGCAAAAATAAACCGAGAGAGCAAAGACCTCCACTAGGGCCAATGGTGGACCCGCATGCTCCTCGGTGGTCTCATTTCCCAAATTAGGAAGTAATTCTTCTGACTTTGGTGCATTCATGTGCTTAGTGTGAAAACAACAAGGGTTCTAGTAAGAACAGTTGTTGTATTTGATTGATCAGAGCATTTTAAGAACATGTTGACATGAGTTCTTGAATGGTTGCTCCTACTTGAAGGGCGTATACAGGATTTATTAACAAACTCATTTTTCCAATTTGCTCACTTGAATGGCCTTTCTAACAATGTTAGCGAAAGCGAAACATCATTTGTGTTCCGCCCTGAGATTTGGGTCGCTCCAAAATTGAAGGGTTTTTTCCCTTGGGCCATGCTACAACCTTCCAGCAAGTTTCACAACACATCGGAGGCAAAGAGACAGTCATCCCAAGATCCAAACATAACTTGGCAGGGGGTAACAAGAAAGAAAGAAAAAGCATTTTGAATGCTTGGACCTATTTTCCATAGAAGAGCTGTTGCAGCCACATTTAATCATCTGACTAAAACAAAGGGAAAAAACACAGAGTTTTTCTATCTTCACAAATCTGAATACACATCAAAGGGATATGTTTTCCATCACTGCATAAATGTGCAGCTTGCATTCCTTTTTAGCCATTTATGTATCAAGAAGCCAATAATCGCAATTATTCGCATGATGTTTTTGCTTGTTTTAAGGTCCTGGATATTGTTGCAGAGGACAGAGACACTGGAGAAAATGCCCAGCTGACCTTCAGTGTTGTGGCTGGAGACCAAGAGCAGAAGTTCTACATGGTGAGTCACAAGCAGGAGCAGCGCGGCACCCTGAAGCTGAAGAAACGTCTCGACTATGAACGACACAGCGAGCAGAGGTTCAACCTCACACTGAAGGTAAGTGGCAGCTGTTCCTAGAAAGAACCCTCTGAAGGTTACTTTAATTCAGCCGTTCAATCAGAGAATGTCACTTTGCTTTTGTGGAAGGAACCTTCAGTGAAGGCTGCGCAGCATGTGTGAAGGGGATAAAGAGAAAATAAGAAGCCAGATGATGACAGTGCGGTGGTATCAGAATGTGAAATGGATTGTAATTGGAATCTGATGTTTGGGTACTTTCACATGTGGTATGTCTCTGGAAAAGTTTGAGCAATTGTGGAAACTGATGGAAATAAATGTTTTGGGAAATGTTTCGAGCATTCACCTCATTAATTGTTTTTGTTCACTATTCTAAAACCCTCAAATCAACCTGTCAGTGCCTCTGTCAAAAGCGAAGATGTAAGACTTTCTAGGTGAGGAGAACTCTAAAGTCAGTCACAGAAGTTGTCACATGTCAGCTACAGACAAGAACTCTAAAGCTTCCAGAGACAACTTTTCATATTTGAGGCAGTGAGAGGAAGCTGTTGGGAAAGTACCAGGAATCATCTGCAGAATACTGTTACATCTTGCAGTTCATCTTCCTATACTGCTTTAGAACTAAATACAGTCAATCATTTTCTTTTGATTAAGTAATAATACCACTGTGAAGAATCTAACCTAAGTAAGTACAACAAGTATTAACATCTAAATATACTAGCAGCAAAAGTAAAAGTGCTACCTAACAACAAATATAAGATCATTATATAATAACATCTGATATATTATTTGATTATAATAATTAAGAGAACAAGACATCCTCTGTCCACAGACCCTTGTTTCAGATAAGGAAATGTATAAGTATAAAAAGCACGAAATGGAGACTAAAGTACCTTAAAGTTGTAATTTAGTACATTACTTGAGTAAATGTACTTGTTGACTGTACTTCAGTTTAATTTCAGGGTACTTTGTTTGAGTTCTTGAGACTGTGCACCTGTTTCAGGTTGAGGACCTGGACTTCTCCAGCCTCCTGCACTGTGTGGTGGAGGTGGAGGACTACAACGACCACGCTCCCGTCTTCATTCCTCACCTCCTGTCTCTGGCCCCTCTCCCTGAGGACATCAGCGTGGGGACCAGTGTGGCCCGGCTGGTGGCCAGCGACTCTGATTCAGGCCAGAACCGCGAGATCACCTACACCCTGACAGAGGACTCGGACCCTGAAGGGCTCTTCACCATCGACCAGTCGGGTGTTCTCTCCGTGGCCCGGCCTCTGGATCGAGAGAAGATAGCACGGCATTCCTTGGTTGTCATGGCAACGGATCATGGGGTTCCACCTCTAACAGGCAGCGCCACTGTCCAGCTGCCACTGTTGGATGTAAACGACAACGGACCGGAGTTTGAGGCGGCGTACTCCCCAGTAGTCTTTGAGAACGTGGCAGGCCCACAGGTAAGTTTGGCTGGGTCTGATGTCAAGTCAACATGCTGATACAATCCTTTGCTTTGGTTAATAGAAAGCTAGAAGAAGAATGTTTTTTCAGGTAAGGGATAACATGCAGCACACTGCAGCATTACAGTCAATGGAACCCAGGGAGGGTGGACTAAGAATGATACGATGGCTTTCACTAAGTACAAGTAGTCCATTTTACTGCAACTACTGCAACGTAACTTAAAATGACTGCAGCACTGATCGAGGTTTCTTGACCCGTAACTGTCCGTCTGTTACCCTTTTTTCCCCATTGAACCAGAACTGTCACAGTCCATACCATCTTCATGTTAGTGTTTACTTCCTGTCTGCTTTTTTCTATCGTTCCCTTTAGTGTTTACTTCCTGTCTTCTTCTGCTAAATTCTCTGTCTTCCAGCTCTCTGTCTTTCAACCTATTTTCTTCTCTTGTGCTCCTTTATTGTCCTTTTTTTGTTTTGTCTAGCCATCATGAATTCAAAACGTCAAGCTCTCCACAAATGTAAAAGTGAATAAACTAAACTAATGTGTTTTTTCACCACAGCTGATGTATTGCTATGACTACAAATAGTCTCTTGTTTAGAGTGTTTTTAGAAAGTGTCTGATATCGAAAAAAAGCAGTCGGCTGAATGTCTAGATTGACCAATTAGAATTGAGATTTCACCTTTTACAGTGAATGAAACAATCAAACCTTTGTAACCCACAATCCCTCACGCTCTTCCTTCTTGTTTAGGTAGTAAGGATGAACCAAACGTCGACTCTCCTGCGGGCTGTGGACCGGGACTCCCCAGAGAACGGTCCGCCCATTCACTTCACAGTCCCCCCCGAGTATCGCCATGGCAATGATTTGTACCTCCAGGACAACCTAAACGGCACCGCCACTCTAACGGCTCTGAGGACGTTTGACCGCGAGCGCCAGAAAGAGTTCCTCATCCCTATTATCATGAGTGACAGCGGCCATCCAGCCAAAACAGTGACCAGCACCTTAACCGTGACCATCGGGGACCAGAATGATCACCCACATGTGGCGGGGGAGAAGAAGATTTTCATCAATAGTCACAGAGGTGAGATCTCCAACTTCAGGATGTACCGTTCGAAACACAAGACAAAGAACTGATTTCGATACATTTGTCTAACTGGTCTTAATCAAAAATATTTAGGTTTGAGGTAATTGTCAGTCTCTGTCGGTGAAAGTGATGCTGCCAGCCAATGAATTCCTAATCAGAGCTCGGTAATTAACGCACACAGGCACACACCATTTGTATTGTGCCTTTCACCTCTGCCTCAACCACCCACTGTCACCGCATTATCTTTGTCCGGATGATCGGTTGTTAGTCGCAATGACTCCCATGGTGCTATTCTAAGGGTCACAAAGGCAAGTTGACATTCATTTAATCACAGCTTTAATGTTTATTCGTCTGGAGCTTATTGTCTTTGAGTTTAAGGATCTAAAACCAACCACTTACTCCAGTATCTGCTCTCAGACTACAGTCTATTTGTATCACAAAAAGCCTGTGCCAAATTTCCAGGATTTTGAATTAAAAAATAAATTGTTTGGCAATCATTTACTGTAAGCAATAAATGATGTCTTTATTGGGCATACACAGCAGGATGAAATACACTTTAATACATACAATAACAATCAGAAAAAAAATATTCATTCTCCACAAAAACTTGGAGGCTCATTAGTAATGTTTTCTTTTGTATACCTTGTCCATTTTTCCCTATCCAACAAAGATTGACTTGATTTTGAAGTGACATGGTTATTACTTCCATGATATATATATTTTATTTACAAGATCCTTCCATTTACAGTTGTTGAGGTTATCATTTGTGACTCAAAGTCCTTTTCATTTACTTGGATATTGCTACTCTTGCTACTATAAATAGTCATGAATCATTTCATTTCATTTAATCGTTTATTTGAATAGGGACAATGCACATTAATGAACACTTAGACGAATAATGCTTCAAGGGTAAATATGCCGGATTTTAGCTTTGAGCTCATTTCCATCCGTAGTCCCTGACATACAACATATAAGAACATGGCATTTGTAAACATAGCAAAAAACAAATACAGGATATGCAAAAGAGCAAGAGCAGCACACACAAGTATTTACCACATGGCACTACAATAGCAGCAACGACATAGTAAGTGCAAGAGATGATACAAGAGCTACATAAAGTGCAAGAGGAGATACCTCTGTGTTAAAGTGCATTTAGCGGTGATTGCATGTCTGGTTGTTTCTCAACCATTCTTTGAGTTGACCTTTGAAGCTATTGAGAGTGGGACGATCCCGTATCTCAGTTGGGAGGCTGTTCCACAAAGAGCTGCCCTTAACGGAGAGGACATTTTGTCCAAAAGTGGTCCGTCTGCAGTGGACCTCACAGTCTCCTCTGGTTTCTGACCTAGTGCAGCGTCTAGAACTCCCCTAAGGGAGGGGGGGCCAGTCCATGTAAACATTTATTAAAAAAACACATACTTTTAAAATACTTAAAATCCTCAAAACTCAAGAAATTGTGTTTATCAAGGATGGTACAGTGGTGGTATGAATGTGGCTTTCTGTCAAACACCTTGATAGCTCTCTCGTACAGCTGTTCTATGGGTTTCAGGTTTGTGGCAGAAGCAAACGACCAGTTTGTCAAACAGTATTCAATGTGGGATAGAATCATACAGTGGAGGTATGACTTTGCAGCATTGACAGTTAAGAAGGGTCTAATTTGTTTAAAATGTTGCAAATTGAATGGTATTGGATACTTTCTTAATATGTTTCTTAAAAGTCAAGTTCGAGTCCAATATGACTCCAAGATACTTGAAGTGGGAGACTAGTTCTATTTCTGATCCGTTTAAAAACACGTTGGATCCTTCGATTTTGACTGGTCGTTTACTGAACATCATGCATACTGTTTTTTTTGCATTTAACTGTAAGCAAATGTTGTTCAGCCAGAGGTGAACCTTGTCCAAAGCTTTTGAGAGACAGGATGAGATCATTTCAGTGTTCTTCCCGTGTACAAAGATGACCGCATCATCGGCATACATTTGCACATTCAACTCAGGACATACATTAGACAAGTCATTAATGTACAGAGAAAACAGTAATGGTCCAAGAATGGAACCTTGTGGAACCCCAACAGGGTTCACAAGGTAGGGGGATTCGGCTCCGTTGACCAAAACACACTGTTTTCTGTTCGATAAGTAAGACTTAACCCACTGTATTGAATCTGCCATAAAATTGAAAAATCATCCTTCGTGATCTTCTCTGGTGTTTTTCCAAGTAGTAATAAGTAGTAATATTTATATAAATACCAAACATAATTGACATTTCCCTTATGTATTTCCCAGGAGCGACTTCTAGCTTCACATAGTCAAAAGACATGACTATCATTTGCCTTCTGCTCATCACAAAGTCTCATTTTGAAGTAGAACCGCTCTTGATGTTTAACATTTGTACAGGATTTCTACCTTTTATTAGTGTTTTATGTGATGCATTGCCTTCTGCTAGATGGTGATTGTGAAAGTAGCATGAGATATGTACATTTTTATTAAAAATGTATTAATAAATGTTCTTCATTGTTTTCTGTGTGTGGGATATGTGTATTGGCATCATTTTCAAAGCTTATGCTAATTCAGGTATTACAGGTATAACCCACGCAGCACAGACTTAAATACTCGGACATGTAGATGCTGAGAATTAACACCTACTCCTACCATGGAATTAACACCTACTCCTAACTTGAAATCCAGTATATGTATATATTATAATTGCTATAAGAATGTATATGGTCACTTAATACTGGTTTGTTATATTTTATCAGGCCGTATGCCAACAACGGTGCTTGGAAAGGTCTACTCCCCCGATCCCGATGACTGGGACAACAAGACGTATGTGTTTGAAGGACATTTGCCAAGGTAAGTAATAGGACTCTTTATTAACCATTCAGGTTTCTCACGTAACAACCCTATGCTACAGGGAAAAATAATTGCTGCAAAGTGCTTAAGGAACATTTTGTTTTGGCCTAAATCAGAAGGGCCAATCACGTGCAGTTAAAAACATTTGTTTTGTCGAAATTCATTTTTTTAGAGACAATTTGGGGCTTTAGAAGAGATTCATTTGAAAGGAGATATAGTGGATGACGCATTGAAGGACCGCAGGCCGGGTTCGAACGTGCTCCTCAAGTCTACGTTTATGTCTACCAAGTGAGCTAAGGGAAATTCATTTGTATTGATCAGTATTTTCCAATCAGAACTGCAAGTAAAGCAAGACGGCAGGGTCTTTGTCTCCAGGTTTGCTGCACTATACTTCCTTCTCCGATGCCGATGAGTGTATCTGTGTAACAGGCCAAAGAAAAGGCACAAAGACAGATCCCTAAAACAAAAATATATCACACTTTATGGGATCTACTGGCAGCTGCATCTGTATGTGCTGCTCTCTCTGTCACCATCTACACTTATCTGCTAATCTCACCGCCATGTCTACATTACATGTTTTTCTGTCGTGATTGATTCAGACTTTTAAATAATGCAGCGCAACCTCGCCCCTGAGTGAAATATCTCTTAGGAAGAGGAAGGCCATATGTTTTTTTGTTTCTCATCCAATCAATTCTTGAGAGTTATGTACTAAGGAAGCCCTCCAACTTTGCAGAACCACTGCATTGTACTGCTATTTTGCTGGCTACAACTTCTAAACATAGTCCTTATTTCTTGTTTGCAATGTGGTCAGCAATCAAGTACGGAGCAGCGTCCCTGAGGTATTGATTACGCTGCAACTCCCTGATTAAATCAGCCTGATAATTCTGTAGAGTCTTCAATTATTTACCATCTTTTTATCACCCTTTTCCTCCATTACCATCCTGTCCAATGTTCCTGCTCAGGTCGATTCCTTATTGGTCCTTGTTTATCCCTTTTTGCCAACGTGTCATGTTACCTGCTATAGATGAGCAGATGCATCTTACAAACTTAGCTGTGTGAAAATGTCTCTCCCTTTTCTCTTCAAGTCAAAGTTCAGCCCGTAGAGGACTGGGTGTAATATGAGGGATTAACATTTTACAACAGCCTTCATATTTTGGAATATTAAACATACAGTAGGTTTCTTGCCCTGCTGTTCTGGGTTTTTACAAAAAGGCACCGATTATAGCTTATTCTGGTCTTCTTTATATACAGCACTAAGAGACCACTGCAAAACTATCAGTTTCTCTGGTTTTACAATTACAATGTGTTTGAGTTATATTATTCTGATCTTTTTTAAATCTACAAACTACTAACAACATTGTTGTCGGAGCTGGAGAGTAGAGTACGTACAGTAGGAGCCACATGCAGAAGACAGTTTCTTTACATCAGAGCTGGGCCAGGCAAAACACCAAAACATACACTCTCTCTGACAATAACCGTCCAAACACCATCAAGGATCTGACAACAACTGGAAGACAAACAGAATCACAATCAGGATATCAAACAGGAGGGAAACACAGAGACAGGAAGCAACCACAGACAAAAGACAGGGGGTGAATACCTTTCACAATAAAACAGTAAACAGACAGATCGTGACACTCCAAAATAAAACACAGACAGGTGTGTTGGAATTCACCAGACACTGGAGTCAAATGGCTGCTATGCATGTAGAGATTGATATTTAAGAAGACATTGAAGGTAGTCTCTTCGTTTTTTCCAGAGCTGTATATTCATTGTGAAAAAAACACACTTGTTGTACTTTTCAAATGTTTTGTTTTGTAAAATACTGCATTGTAGTCGTTTTGACTGTTGTATTATTGTAATTTAGTATTATCATGCAGCACAAACATTTAGATTAGGAGAAATGCGCTGCAGCTTCAGAAACAATGAATACAAAAACACAAATAAGCCCACCTCCCTGAGTTTCATTTCATCTTGCATCCGATTGATTTCAAGCACATGGAGCAGTGTAACTAATTGCCCTTTTCCCCAGCCCAGAGTAGACTTTTGGGACAGTTAGTGAAAGCAAGTCCTCCGAGCAGAGCCAATGACTTCCCGTTCTTTTCCAAGAGATATCAATCCGTAGATGGTGGGAGAATCTAAGAAAAGCTGTATCCAATGAATCTTGTACAACAGTTGTATAGCAAATGTCCTGCTTTGACTGGAATAGAAGTGGCTACTAATTTAAGTAGGAGGAGGCTTCAGCAAATTGGTAAGTGCCAAATCGGAAAGTTTTACTAGTTATATTAGAGAAATATTCTTTTAGTGAAACCTGAAATTAAGTGCTCGACATAAGATGTAATCTACCCTCTCCAGCACATGCTGCACAATGACTTAATGCGTCTCTCGGCTCTACAAGGGGGTTATTATTTAATTTGCCAAGGTTGTGCCTTGGTTCGGCTCTATAATTAAACTTGAATGAGCTCATTTACTGTACAAGGGGAGCATGGAGACAAGGACCAAGTGAAATTGCTTCCTCGCATGTCTCGGTGCCTATGAGTCACTTTCATTTTACCCTTGCCTTTCTCTCGCTAATGCATCGTCTCTGCTCACTTTCTATTATTGTCCCAGGGGGCAATCTGTTTACAGCAGAAAACAGAGTAAAGACACAAAATGAATCAGAACACATGGCTGACGGCGATGAAAGTGTTTTGGTTTGGTTATGTCTTCATCTTGGACAGTTGCAACAGGTGTAGGGACTGTTAGACATGTGTTCTCCTTTGTTCTATTATTCATATCTTTATTAGTCAAATTGTTTTGGACAGTCAAATTATTTTATTAATTATCTTCATGTTTAGACTAATGCACATCATAACTTGTGTTCTGTCAGGGCTTGCAACTAGTTCAACAAAATGGTTAAATTGCATTTCGATACAAATGTTAGCTGATCGCTGGTTTGTGTTGAGAAAGGGTTTTTTTGCAAGCAGGGACCGAGTTTGGATCATCATGTCTGCAGGCAAAGAAAATATGTTGGAAAATTGTGAGAAATTCCAGATTCCCTTCAATGATGACCAGAGATATCCCAAACCTTACCAGTACAATGTTTCTATAGTTCCAACAAGTCATTCCATCAACTTTAATAGTCTGCACCTCCAGGATTACATTTCAATCTTACCATATCCATCATTTCATCTTTGAAACGTTATCTTTTTAACCAGGATCTCCTTAGATCAAGTTACTTGTGAGAAATAAGGTGCGTCAGATCAAATACAGATCAATGTTGAATGGGACATGGCATTGAAAGAAACCCAATTAAAAGACTTCTGGCCACATGTTGGGGGGATCTTGACATCACTATTACTTTTTTAATGTAAAAAAAAATATTCTGGCTTTTTACAAAATAGGAACATGGCATGGTTAAAGGAGCAATGTGTAATGCCTTGCCACTGGCCCATTAAGAGGCTAAATTGTATTGCTAGTGGGTCAGTACAATCTAGACATACAGTCATCTTTTATATCAAAAATAAAAATTAACTATTAACTAACAGAAGTGCAAGAATACTCAAAATTCAACCCAACAGCTGAGCCTCTGAGAGTCAAACAACACTGTTATGTATAATATTTACGTGTGTTGTCGGCCTTGAGTTTATTTGAGCTTTATTTATTTTGTCAATAATGAATGGGTAGAGGGCTGCAATTCGTGCTGTGACACCAACCCATGGGGAGCCACCACTTGAAAGCTTCAAATACAATATAATCTGTTTGACTCTGGAGCTTAGACAATACGCACGCAGTCATACTGAGCGTTTCATTCCACTTATCCAGTTAGCATGTCGACCTTTGATGGGCAAATCACTGAAATGACTGGTCTCTGCAGTCTCACTGACACGTCTGTAGCAGCCTAATGACTAATCAGTACCACGCCAGCGGTCAGTCCTATAGATTCAGCAACTTGACCCTGTCAGGCTCCGAGCCATTAGAAAATAACTCAGGCTGGGCAGTGTTGGCCTGTGGTGAAATTAGATGTTACAGACAGTGTTGGACACTGGTCGCATTCTTATCGGCCCTCAGGGGTTATGCGGCAGCCAGGCACATGTGGTGGCAACTTAAATTACCTCAGACGTCCCTGCGCACTTCAGTGTGTCTTGTTATTAGTAAATACTTCTTAAAGGAAGTGTTGAAGTGTAACAGTTTGCCATTTTAGTCAAAGCTTGAAGTGGATAACGATTTGTCTCAGCAGGTTGGCTGTCTGATCATGTAAAAGGCACATTTTTGCGGGTTGACCCATGTGGTTGATATTGATTTAGGGCTACTTTGACTCAGAAGGTAGATGGTAGAAGAAGGCCCAGTCAACATGTCAATGTATTCGTGGGCAAGATACTTAACCCCAAGTTGCTCTGGCCAATGTGCGAATGGAGCTGCTTCTGTGCGAATGCTTGCTTGTATATTCAAAAGCACTTGAGCACAATTATTATTATCTTTTTTTTAATCTACAAACTACTAACAACATTTGTGTCAGGGCTGGATAGCAGAGTATGTAGAAGCCAAATGCAGAAGACAGTTTCTTTAAATCAAAGTATTTTATTGGCTGGGACAGTCAAAACAAGGCAAAACACCAACACGAAGAACAGAAAAGCTCTATATAAGTAGGGTCCAATAAACATGTCAAATCGAATATGTAAAAATGTTTTCTGATACTGGTGTCTGTGTTTCTTCTTTCCCTCAGTTACTTCATCCTGAACAAGCGAACAGGCTTCCTGATCATCAAGGAGAACGCCCCCACAGGCGCCTACGAGTTCCAGGTCCGTGTGTCGGATGGAGTTTGGCCAGATGCTGTCTCTACCATCACTGTGCACGTGAGGGAGCTGCGAGACGAGGCCATCTACAACTCAGCGTCTCTGCGCCTGGCAGGTAAGATTAACTCTGCAGACACACACACACACACACACACACACACACACACACACACACACACACACACACACATCTGTCTCTATGTCTGGTCAGAAAAGGTCTGTGGTTTAGGGTTATCTTAGGTTAACTTGGTCTAGTCCCTTCTACAGTGTTCCCCACAGTGTGATGTTAGGCACCACCACAGCCCAGAATATCATGTGACTTAAGTTCCATTGTTAGTTGTTATTAAGGTAGCTTACGAGTCAGAAACTTGACCTTAGACAATAAGGTGAAAGATTTCTAGATGTGGTTGAAACTTCAAGAATTTTTTCAAAGTCCAAACAAAATGCCATAACCCTATTTGACCATAATACTATAACCAGGGGACTTCATGTGACTTTGAAATTGTATTTAATATTATAAATATTATATTATATAGGCCTGATTATGATTCTATAATATTTGCAAGACCTCTTGCTCCGGTGCTGGTGCAAATAAGCCTACATGCTGTGTAGAGAGATGTGAATTTGCAGCCTAATTGTGCTAATTGCTATTATACCATATTATAACCTTCAATTTGAGGCCTTTATTCCATAATAATATTGCCTCTAAGAGAGGAAGAAAAAAGCTGCGGGAAAAACAAGTCATACGACGAGAAATTACAAGCTACAAGCAGAGGACTAATATTATAACATTACCTCTGTTTTGAGAAATATGGCAGGTCATTTAATGTGGAATTCTTACTTGATAGGTGACAACATGACAGATTAGCGCTGAATTGAGATCACAGATGACCTCTGCAATTATTATATATGACTTGGGGAAACTGTTTTTTAAAATATTTATAATATTCAGCAGATCAGGTTTTTTCAGGGCCAGGCCAAACCTCAATGTTGGTAAAAATCTCACTCTACTGTACGTCGTAATACTTCCAAATAGGCACAAATATATCCTTGACTTATAATTAAAAGTTTGGATTTCTACTCGTTTGTCTGCTGCTCCTTTGTATAACAATAGTGTTGTCATTCAGTTCAAGTGTTTGACCCTTTGTTGCTATTACAGCAACAGGTAGGACCTAAAGCAATACCAATTTAAAAATACAACTGTGCTCAGCTTAGTATTGCTGAGGGAGTGGAGAATGGTATTTGCTTACTTGTCTCCAGTCATAGAAAATTAATGAGCACTGATTACTGTTTGCTCTGGTTGTTTGCAGTGTTTCACAGAACTGCCACACTCTCCGTTAAAGAGTGACCCTTTGCAAAAGATTACACCCATTATTAATCCCCGACTCCTGGGATCCCAGCTGCCTTAGGTGCCCGCACAGAAAAGTCTATTTCCATTACTTATGTTGGCAAAATAATTAGTAGAGAGGTTTTGCTCAGGCAGCACATTCTCCTCACATGTTGCATCCATCATTACCTGATGTACAGCGCATCGGCTGTCTGCTCAGAATTACATTTGCTTTAGCGAAATGGGACATGGCTGAAAGATTTGTATGATTTCAGAGATATTGAAATAGAAGCAGAGGTGGGGGTGGGCACTCCAAAGACGAGAGGAAGGGAGGGAAGGAAAAGGAAAGGGAAGAAGGGAAAGACAAGCCTCATATTAGTAGATCAAAGGATTTGATTTGCTTCTGGAAACGGAGCAGAGGTAAATGAATGCGCACCAAACCCAGAGACAATATTGTGGAGAACAGCTGGCGAACACGTTCCAATATTTGTGGAAGGCAATTGAATCCATTGGCGAATTGTAGACGAGCAAATTGTGTGTTTATACGGAAATCAAAATGAAAGCAACTGCTCTTGACTTTTTTTTGCGAATGGAACTATTTCCAGTCCACTGAATTGAACAAAACAAGGTTAAGTTTGTCAACAACCTGTAACTGACACGTGGTTTTGGTTTGATGTACCCGGGCTCTACAAATATTGAAAGTGGAAGAGCAAAACGACTTTTTACCTGCAGTTCAGGAATAAGCACACTCACCAAAAAACATTTTATTTTGTAGGTTTCAAAGCAAAATGCAATATGAAGGATTAATGACTGAGATCATCCTGAGGTGTCCATGTTCGTGCGTTTGTGTTTGCGGAGGATTTTTTACAGAAACCATTTCCAGGATTACATTTTTCCATGTGGAGCTTTGGCGTAAACAGTCTCATTGATTCTCAGTCTCGGGGATTATGAGAAATATTCTACTTATAGCATTACTTACACCCTCCCTGACATTGTAAATCCCATATCAAGAACAAATGTGGAAGGCAATGAGCATACACAAAGACGGCACTAGTTAAGTCTGCCTTGCCAAGATTAAAGCTTCCACCCTCTCACGCTCTCTCTCTCTCTTCCTATCAATATTGATGGAAAGGTAAAGAAAGGTGGTAAACAAAAAGTCCTTGAAATGTCCACATAACACTCGCTTGGATGTGAATGCATAGTGCTCAGGGGGAAATAAATCACAAGAACTCGTTGAGTGGGTTCACTCCATGCAGCCGGCTGGCATGGTTTGTGTTTGTGATGAAGGGAGGATGACTTTTTAGAAATCTCTTGGCAAAGATAATGGTCCTTTAACACAAGAGGACATATTATGCCAGGTTGATACTGCCTGTAGCTGCATCACACTTTTCACCCTCTGTCTGAAACCAGAGCCCAGTCTTCTCTGATTAGCTGGTTAGCTGAACGCGTCTGTTTGTGATTAGTCAACCGCTTTAGAGATGTCCCGCCCCTTAGCCTACAAAGTGTTGGAGCGCTAGACAATAGAAGCACAAGTAGTGATGTCACTATGTCCAAAGGAGTTGATAACTTGAATTATTTTTCACACTGTACATTTTATATTCATATTTAGTTTAATATGCTATTCCTTGCACACTTATAAATAATATACTTTTACATTTTGTTAGTTGTAATTTGGCCCTTCATGTTATTTATTTGACAGATACGATTTAATCTTCTGCTTATTTTTCTCCTCTTTTAATTTTTCAAATGATGTGCAATGCCTTGTTTTGACATGCTGCTGTGACGAAAACAAATCCCAATTTGGGATCAATAAAGTATATCTTATCTTATCCAATGGATGCGTTTCAGGCAGGGGGGAGTGTGTGGGAGAGAAACTCCCTCTGGAGGGAACTTTGTGATGTTAGCCTTTGCAGACCATTTACAGGCACAACAACCTATAGAACACAATAAAGGAAACGGAAAACCGACAAAAAGCATAACAGGGCCTCTTTAACTGACGCACTGACTCAAAGGGCTACCAGAAACTGTCCTTTGTCACAAAAATTACTTCATAATCAACATTCTGAGAATCACAGTGGTTCTCACAGAGAGAGAATGAAAGAACACACACATACACGTGTGTGAGTGTGGAGAGGCAGAAAGAGCCTAGGCATTAGGAGACAAGACATGGGGCTCAGAATGGGCTCAGCGGATACAGCGAGAAGGATCCGGGCTAATGTCAGCTCCCATCATTCAGTCCTGCGGGAGAAACAAGGACACGGGCAGACAGAGAGACAGTCAGGAGGGAGGGGGGCTGGGGGGGGAGAGGGTAGTAACTCCTAACGCAGAGTGGCAGCCTTTGCATCTGGCTTTGAGCCAACCTCACAACTCACATCTGCCTACTCCTTCCCAGAGGCTTCAGTGGAGTCGAGGTGGGGGTGCACAGATCCACTCACTCCTGTAGGCTCGTGGTTTCATACAAATAATGAAAAAGAAAAACACCATAATGGTCTTTGTTTTGTTAGTGTTACTCTTTAGTCAAACTTTGTTATAGAGTTTTGAAAACTTTTTAAATACTTTGACCCATTTTTTTTACAAAAGAAAAATAGAAGATTTTACCGAACCATCCCATCCCAGCGGTGTCTTCCCAGGCAGTTCTACTCTTGATAGATACGTGAACACAGGTCAAAACTGTTATGATCTCTGTAAGATCGCGGAAGAGGTAGGACCCAAATGCAGACTACAAAAATGGAAAAAGGTTTAGAAACAAAAAGCGAGCTTTATTTAAAAGCTGATAACAAAACATGGCATGAATCAAAACGGTAGCTCAGGAACACAAAAACTGATCGTGAGAAACATGGAGGAAGACCGGAGAGAAAAACATGAAACGTGATGTGAAGGGAGGACGAACAAACAATGAACCGACAGGGGAACACAGGAAGAGACAAGACTAAATACAGGGAGGGGTAATCACCAGTGCTTGAATTGGAATGAAAAAGGTGCCAGTACTCTAAAATCAGCAACTTTTTCAAGTCAATTTTATATATACAGCCCACAAACAAGAATTTGGCTACTATAATGCTGGTGGGTTTGTCTCTTTACTACTGTATATTTTAGAAAGGTTCACTGTACTTAACATTTTTTATGATAGGCAGCGGATATGGCTAAAGCTCAGTAAGGTCAATATTAACTGAAAATATAGCAATCAAAGTCTAGATCTTCTGCTGAAGACACATGAAGCAGAGACCTTTCAGGTGAGAGCCCCTCTGGTGGTGTTCAACATTAATGACAAGGAAACAAAGCTCTGGTCAGAAGCATTTTTATAAAAAGCTTTAACAAAATTAAGTATTTCTGTACATTTTGAATGCAATCTAACTTTCCAACTCAGAAAACGAAAAACGAAAAAGTGCCAAAAGTCTTCTCACATGGCTGAGCTGCTTTGCAATATACTTCACCACTGAAGAATACAAATATGTATAAAGTAAACTATGATGCAATCTAACTTTCCAACTCAGAAAAATGATAAAGAGCATGAACAAAGAACATGTAAAAACAAATGCAAAATTTGCACAATCTAAAATGAGAAACTGTAACTGCAAGTAACAAAGTCTGAGCCATGGTAAAGAGTTACATTGAACACCAAGCTGATCAGATAACTCCCTGGTTGGTCTGAAGTCCTTCTATCTCCAGGATCTGTACAAATCGGCACATTATGCCAAAAGTCTTCTCACTGGGTGAGCTGCTTTGCAATATACTTCACATTGTTAGAAAAGGCTCCAGAAGGCCTTGGGGACATCAGTATCAGGGGC